GTTTGTCTTATAAGGGGTTTGTCTTAAGTAAAAATAAAAATAAAGTCCTTATTATAATATTTCATATGGTTCAACTTATAAATTAGTACAGATATACCATAGAACGGAGTTAGTTGATAATGTAAGTTTTATGTATGACGTATATAATAATAGYTTAAACTTGAATTAAATATTTTGAAAATTTAGTCGTGTATTGTAAATATAATAATGTATAATAATTAAGTAGTGTTAAAAATTGATTTCGAAGCCCATCCCCACTTATGAGTATACTTTTCGGGGCGTTATCAGTATTATTTTATCATCTGCAGTATAACGCCTACAATTATTATCCGTGCTTGAATTGAAAGGGAAGCGAAGTTCCTGTTCTTTTWWAAAAAAAAAAATCATGTTGCGTATCCTTTCTAATAATATCTTAACAAAAAGACAATTAATRATTTAAAGAGTCAAGTACGTAATTTTTTTCACACTTTCACATCAACTTCTGATTTTTTCTCAATCCACTAACACAATGACTATTATTTTACCGTCATGACTTTAATATTTTCTTCCACGTTCGTAGTGAGTAATCTAATTATTCACCAATAATTATTATAACAACTATAGTACTATAATATTTACATGTATTATACGGGTATGTGTRGATTTTAATGATATGATAATTTTTTTTTTACAAGCGATATACACCCTAGCTGTATCACTTGATACAATGAGAATATAKGCTAAAAATAACAAATATGACAGATTAATATTATTTTGATGAAAGGATCTGCTTATTGATTAAGATATTAAGAACACTTCCTAAATGATAACTTAATTATTATAACATTTATAATTAAAAAAAAAAAATYAACAAATCATGACACCATTTGCGCGTTAGATGCCTTGRGAGTTGGGGGATAACCATATACGTATGGTAGTGGAAGTCAAATTTAAATAAGTACCTACTTAAGTGATTGAGGAATCTTTTATAGAAACAGTTAGATTCATCGCTTATAGATTTATAGTTTCTAGTTTTCGGTTTGAATGTAGAGAAAAATTAAARACGTAGTGATCACTACCTCGAGGTGAATTTGTTAACTTTATATTAGAGCAATATTTTGAAATGCTTGAATTTGGCTGATGTTTGATTCTTTTGCATTACCTACCCAAATAATAAATTAATATGATGATGACGATGAACATATTATAATCTCTTTTCTCCAAAGCTCTTCAAATCAGGTTCTCTTGACTTCTCTTCTTGCATTAATTGACTTAAGGGTTCCTATTCGGCGCACTCGTACTGMTTTTATACATCCAGCATTGAACAACAAATGATATGTACAAAAAATAGYCTATCACTAGTATGATTGAGTTAGCCAATGATCAATCGTATTTTTTCTTCAAAATTTAAAATTTAATTGCATTGTCGTACTATAATATTGTTATTTTGTTATCTTATACCACTTTTGTTACTTTGGCTYATCTCATTTGTATTTAATAAAAAAACAAAATAATATTATAATATATAGGTACGTACTTCATATATGTATTGCAAAGTTTTCGCTTCACTTGTCGAATATTTTCTCAACCTATCCATTATCACGAGTATAGTATATGTAGGTACCTGTAGGTGGTATATTATATCGGAACCAGATCGAGACAACTATTACTATACATGCCCTAAAGCGCACTGACTATAGGTRTAATGTTATTTTAAAATATTATGCAKTTGCATTCATACCTATAAACCCACCTTGGCGTGTTGGTCAAGTTAAATCGATATTGTCGCCAACGGCGCTCGTGTATACACAATAGCTAAGCACCACCTACCTATCTGTGTGCTACAGTGCCATTCTTTTTTCGTGAAACATGCTCGATATTCTTTAACCTACATAGCCCAGGGACAAATTGGGCTAGGGTGTAGTATTGAGATTTCTGGGTGTCCCTTAAGTACTGGAAAATGTTGGAAGGTATACATATACGGTGACAATATTATACATGTCAGTTGGCACTAAGAATGTCRGTGCGTGTCGCGAATGCTTACTTTTTACATTTTTACCAATTCAAAATACAACACGACCAATAAAGTTAATGTACAGACATTTGGTTAAAAAAAAAAATTAAAGCAACAATAACCAGGGCCGGATTTACACAAAAGGTGCCCCTAGGCAAATAAAAAAAAAACGCCCCTACTCATCGGAACATCATTTATTCAATAAGAGGCAAGAGCTGAGAGTCCCCCTCTTATTAATTTACCAATTTTATGATTATACAAAAA